GAGTCCAGCCGAACTTATGTGACGCATTAAGACGCTTTACTCTTTGATTAAGGCTAATCTCATCGGGCCCCGTTCATTAAACGCCCCATGCCAGATTGAATCTGAAAGTAGTCGGGCATCCCCAAAATACGAAGGTAAAACCTTATATCTTTAAAAATTAATTCATTATTTAGGATTATTTTTAGTCCAGTAATTGAGTTGGCCCACACCAGTTCACAATAAAACAGCAACAACTTAGATAATAAAAATAACGTAGGATTCCCTTTAACAAGTTCCATTCAAATATCTAATAAAGCCCTGCCTAGTTTTATGCAACATAATAACTAACCTTTAGTATTCATCCTATTAAATTCTATATTTCACAAACTAAGCCTTCGGATCGTCACGTAGATCGGCCATTTTACTCGTAGTTGTGATGGACACGTTGCGTAATCTTAGTGTTTGTGTCTAAAGTCATAATACAATGATACCATATATTGTTATATGACGGTATTATTTTTTTGCATAGTGCTGTAAACCAGTATCTTACGTGGGGTTCTGTTAAGCTTCATACTTATTATGATGTAATTATTCATATTTACATCGTCAATAATTATATCGCCGCTGTAAGTACAAATAATTTCATTTTTTATTTGAGATTTCAAGTTGTTTAATGCTGAGAGATAATTGCAAATGATTGATTGTCTAAATTTGCCTTCAGCTAGCAAACCTTTAATTGACGGTCATGATTAAGTTACTACTGGCGAATTCGTTGTTGTTGTATTTGTTCAAGACAATGTGTCTACGAAAGAAATTGTTTGAATTTTTTTATGGACAAGTGAAAAAAATGAGGTTAAAAAGTCTTCATTTAAAAAGTTAGTGAGTTAGAAGCAAGACAATGTGTCTATGAAAGAATTTGTTTGAATTTTTTTTTAGATAAATGGAAAGAAATGTTTAAAAAGTCTTCATTTAAAATTTTTGTGAGTTAGTAGATTACAAGAGAAATCTTGACAAATATGGACAGAGAGGACAGATGGGTTTTTACGTGGTGTTAAATTTTATATTTCAAAATTAGTTGTTTAATAAATTAAATAGTAGTGAAAACTATAAACTTATATTATTTTTAAACTTATAACTAACTATTAGATTATCAATAAATCTATAAAAAGTGCAATACTAAAACCATTCATAAAGACATTTTTTCTATTTCCAAATTCAAATTTATTCTTGATTGTCACGCTGTTACATTTGCTCAAATAACTACAATAAACATTTCAATAGCTAAAACCCATTAAGTTAGCAACAAAAAGTTGTCAGTTTAGACTATTGAACATTATAAACGTCACGGAAGAGCGCACTGATATTATGAAGCTATTGACCGTAAAATCATCTCATCTCCATAGACGTCTGAATGATTTTGCAAATATTAATCAAGGTCTCCAAACACTTTTGCAATCTTTAAAAATCATTAATTTAACGTAGTAGAGCCATGCTTCGGTACAAATGGGGCGGCTCGACCGGAGTGATACTCACGAGGGTGTGGGGGTGCACCAGGGACTTCCTTTCTAGGGTATACCTGGTTCTTCGGCTATTAGTACCCGAGACGGCGTGTGGTTTTAGTTGTATTATTATTGTTATTATTATTGTTGTATTATGTATTATTGTATTATGTATTATTGTAATATGTATTATTGCATTATGTATTATTGTATTATGTATTATTGTGTGTATTATAAGTTTAATCTGTGTATCTGTGTACCTGTTTATCTGTCTGTGGCATCCTAGTTCCCGAACAGATATACCAATTTCGATTCGGGTTTTTTGTTCGAAAGCCGATGTGATCGAGATGGTTCTTAGCTATAAATTTTGAAGATCATCAGCTCACTTCCTAGGTGATGAAGGGATCTCAGTAAAAACCACAGGTCCGATTCATCTTAAATTTGGTATACTGTTACTTTGATGGTATTTCCATGATATGATAATGTGGAACTTGCTGCTGCATCAAGTAGTTTGCAGGATAACCAACTCCTCAGAAAATTACAGCATATATACCATGTTTGGGCTTATTAGAACAGTCTCAATGTATTCAATGATAAATGTTTTTTAAAGCATTTTTTTTGTGTCAGGCGTTTTTAATGATGCTACTATTATGCTTATTACTAATACTACTTGTATTTGTTAGCAGAGTATATAATATGTTAATATCTTAAAGCATCATGGTCTTAAAAACAAATATGTCGTAAGAAAAAAATTTACACTTCATCACGACTTATTGACATTTCTTTCACTATCATTTATCAATAAAAGAATATACAAGCACACCATCAACTTAAACCACGAATTTGACATTTCAACACTGCGATTTGTGTTAAATTGTGACCTTATTCCAACGTAATACCTACTATCATTGCTACTTAACAACAACAAAGAAAATGACTATTGTTCTTCAATACCATCGATCATATGATAAGATTCTAATGGAGCCCTAATGGACCGATGTGATGCGTTGAAAAATAGCACAGAATGTTATCGGTGGTGAGAAATAAAGTGCTGTTATTAAGGTGCTTTATTGTTATAAGATTCAAGAATATAAACAACTAGACAAACAGTTGTTGCATAAAAGCTTTAATACATACGATGAAAGATAAAATCTTGAAAAAAATTGGTTGCCTGTAAAGTCGGTATACGGGCGAAAGTTTTACGTGACAACGACTTTGAGTGGTAAAATAATTTTAATGTGAATATTCATTCGTATAGTAGGAAGAAGGATGAAATAATAGTAACAATTTAAAACATTTATTTATACAAAGAATTATATTTAAAACATTAATTTATGTCTGTCTCTCTCGCTCTTAGGCGGGCTAACCATGCCCGAGTGGAAGGGACGCGTGCTTCTCACTCGCTCTCATTGTGAGCGCATAACGTGAGCGGAGCGTAACGCAGTTTCTTGAAGTGTCACCCGGCAAACCAATTTATAAGACGTTGTCACGTCAAAATTTAGGTCATTCGAATACATCTACATAATATCCAAACAAGCTTTCAAGTCATTGGAAGGTTAGTAGAGTTTTGTCAATTTTTATTTTGTCTCTTCAGAGATTTTGTTGAAATCTCGCAACTACATTTTATCTGTCTACGCCATCAAATCAACGAAGCTGATAATGTTACATACTTATGATGTTCAATGTGACAATTCAGTGAAATGGTCTACTGGAGAAACCAAAAGGTCTGCATAATGAACTTAACAGTCAAACCCATGCAATGAACTTCTTATTTCTGAGATTGTCTATTATCTGATAGTGGACAGTGGTATCCACATGTTTGACAGATTAAATCATATTTAATTTAATATTAGTAACTTATAATCATCATCAGCAACAGCATTTAAAAGTCCACTGTTGAATATAGGTATCTCCAAAGAAATGAGGTTTTGGCCTACCATACCACGATAGCCAGAAGGGTTGTTATAGAGTTTGTTTCAGGTTTTCCTTCTCTTCTTTCCTTAACAAAAGTTTAATATTTTATTAGTTTTCAGATGCATATTTAAAGGTTATTGGAGTGCTAACTAGTGAAGCGCTAGCTAACCAATGTAATTGTGTTTATTTCGTATCTAAATACTTTTTCATACACATCGTCGTTTTTTATCACATACATCAATCACCACAGTACAAAATATCAAATGAATGCAATTTTATTCCAAGAGATTAGTCTGTTACTTTGTAATCATCATGAAATGAAAACTCATCTGTATTTCGCGATATCGGCACAACTTTCACTGATCACGATCCAAATCTATCAGTCTAATCATCAGTAGCAAAGCCGTTTATTGCTAAAGTCTTGGGCAATTTCGATAATTTACCTCGTTTGTACATCGCAGACGTTTTGTTCCACTGTTACGTTATTATTGTCACTTATCGCATCATTGACCTACATGATGATTGACGGGTATCTAATTGTGAAAGATTATTTTATTGCTTTAATTATAATTGCAAAAGGGATTCAATTTTAAGAGAAGCTTTGAAAAATGAATGTTGCAAATACTATATCTCAATTTTTTTAAGAATGGGACTCCGAAATCAGATATAGATGTAACATCTTTATCTGATTTTAGAGTCCTATTCTTGAAGCTGTAGTAGCATATGAATTGAATCAATGTTTAAACTTTGTAATCAATATTATGTCAAACTAAAACCTCAAACAATCACCGACAACTCAAATTATGTACAATAAACAACCAATTGAAAGAGTAAAAACCTTAAAATATTTCACTACAAGCAGATTAGTGTCAAAAGTAAAGGGCCAAAATGCCAGGATCGTGCGCGGGTGCCGCCGTACAATTTTGAGCGTAATGCCGGTATAATGTTTTGTACTCGTGTTTATTGGCGATGTGGAGGATACAGGGTCATTTATCACCGGGGTAATGAGTATGAACAGAGATGTAGAAGCTGTTGGATTATCGAAGTTGTGGTTGTTATTTTTAATACCACGAACTTTGAGAACAGCAAAGCTTTGGACAAAATGCGTATAGCCTTTTAAATACTGGCTTTATTTTTTTTATTATTGTTTAGGCTATACATCATCTACACATAACTTTTTTGAAGTTAAAATATAACTTGAAACAGCTGCCACTCCCCCTACTAAAAGATAACTATATTTACTCAATGATTTATAAGCACCAAAGTTAAGCGTTGTCTATGGTCAAAAAAGTTCAGTTCTACTTCTGTCTTCTTAGTTATAGACAGTACAGTTTCTCTTGTCGTTTACGAATTGTTGACTGTCTTGATATCATTGTCAATCTGTCGAATCTTGGCAACAATTTTACAATGAAATTAATCCCTAAATGTGTTTGGCGAATCTTACAATACTATATATTAGTTCTTTATATATCTCCATTGATTTATGCCTTTGAAATGATTGTAGTGTTTCCAAAAGTAAGAGATATTATAATGGCTGGTCCCTTAAAACAGTGTGTACATATCTGTATATCGACTTTGTTGCTTATAAACGTATGTGGAAACATAGTGATGAGTGTAATTTCCAAGATTGAGTTAACAGATGTAGTTAGAGAAAATGGAGTTTACTGTGAATTCTGTAAGGCTTGGCGGCCATTGAATAGTTGGCATTGCAAAAGATGTAATGCATGCATTTTGAGGAGAGACCATCATTGCACTTTCTTCAATCGCTGTATTGGGCAAGCCAATAAAAGATTCTATATCTTGTTCCTTGCCTATGTTGCTATATCTATGGCTTACGCTGCATACTATAACTACTATTGGGTCGCTTCTAAATATGAAGATGCTTACGGACCAATAATTACTATTGCTCGTTTTATGAACCCATTGCTCCGGTACTTGACCATGCAACAAAGGGGTGATAAAGAGTTTTCTGTGGCTTATTGGTGTTTGAACATTGCTTTTGCTATCTGGGCAGGTGTTCTTTTCGTATACCACTTTAGGAATGCTGTTAATGGAGTGACTGCTCACGAAGCCAACCATTTTCCGGAATTAAAGAATAATAGTAAGTGGAAACAAAATTTAGTTAACGTGTTTGGAATAAAGTGGTACTGGGCAATTGTGTGGCCATTTTGTTCCAGTCCTTTACCGGAGCGTATTAAAATTGAAAAAGAGAGTTGAAATATACAGTCTTATTAAATCTTTGACTTTTATTATTTACCGATGGTAAAGTGCCAAAAACTCTTAATTACTAATGAAGCCGAGAATTTTATTTATAGAAAGAGTAAAACCTATTTAAGATATAAGAAAGAAACCAGTTTTAATAATATATTTATTTATAAACAGCTGGCCCACGAAACCTCACAAGGACTAAATTTTCCCTGTTTTTGCAACATTTTCACTGTTTTTCGTTGCTGCTCTACTCCTGTTGGTCGTAGCGTGATGCTATAGCCTTTCTCGATATCGAACACAATTTTTTTTTAATTCGAATCAGTAATTGATTAGATTTGACTTATTACTTATCAGCATTATAAAATTAATATAGCAAATTGAATCGTATTGCTATATTAAGTAAGGCGTTACCTATGCCTATAAACCAGTTGAAATTTTTTTTGTCGGTCTGTCTGTTTGTTCCGGGTAATCTTCATAACGGCTAGACCGATGTTGACATTTTTTTATTATCAGCTTGCTGTCATGTGTTTCTTATTGTCAGACTATTATTCCTCTTGGAAAAACCGTATAAAATTTTGCCTGGTCCGGTCCGAACCCAAGGCCTCATGGACTGTAGTCGCGTACCCTACTACAAAACTAAGGCGACGGCAACAAAGTCGCGGGTACCAGCTAGTCTACAACAAGCCTACCGACATCATACCGCTGAGGTACGATACGTCCTATTTCTGTGTTACACCGTTTCTTCGGTAGGATGTTGGGTGTACGTAACCGTTATGTAACTGATGATAAACAGTGACTTATGGTGCATGTTAATGTGTTATTACAGGAAGTAGGCAACACTATTATGAAGTGCCTAGGTGCGTGTTAATATTTAAGGTTACGTGAAGGCACAGTTGGGTAATTTTAAATACATGAAATAATGTGATAATAACAATACAAAATAAATTATAGTAAAAAGAACACGATTTTGTAACTAGCCGAACCTATAAGTCTATAAGTTCAAAAGAGAAATGATTTTATCGTAAAAATGTGTGGGGTGCTTTTTAAGATATTTTATAAAATGACACTCTACCGTATTTTCAAGTATTTAAAAAGACGTTAATCCTGAAAATCCTGATCAGGATAGTCGGCTAAATTTATCAAATTAATGTATTGTCATCGGTCCTTGATAAGTTTGCGAAGTTTCAATTTCATTCGACGTTTTGAAATGGGTCAAAATCACGTTCTGTTACATTCATACGTACCGAGCTAATAAAAGCGTGTTCAAAATTAAAGCCCTTTGCAATTGGTGTTCACAATATTTACTTATTTCTTACAGTTTCCTTACACACTAATTTCAATGTAAAAATATACTTTTATACTAACGTGTGTATGGTATCAGGTATGTCAGGAGCCCGTGAGTAAACTACGCTCAGTGGTGGAGAGGTACAGGAAAAAAACAAACATTTCTGTACTAATACTGTAAACCTCAAGAGTTTATTTGTTTGGTCGAAAGCGCTAACCTCTACAACTACTAGTTCGAATTGAAAAATTATTTTAGGGTTAGGATAGCCCATTTATCGATGCGGCGACTAGTGTCTGGGCACGTCCTCGTGCTGGGGGACTTCAACGCAAAGTCCATTGCGTGGGGTTCCCCTGCGACGGACGCCAGGGGCGAAGCCGTCGAGGAGTGGGCGGCGTCGGTGGGCCTCTGTTTGCTGAACAGAGGCTCCACCAACACGTGCGTGCGACAGCAGGGGGGGTCGATAGTGGACCTTTCGTTCGCTACCCCTGCAGTCGCCGCACGAGTAAGGAACTGGTGTGTCCTGGAAGAGGTCGAGACGCTCTCGGATCATTTGTACATCCGATTCGAGCTCTCCCGGTCCCAGGACCCCAGTAGGGGTCATGCGGCGCGGCGCCCTTCCCGCTTCCCGCGGTGGGCTGTCGCCAAGCTCGACAGGGACCTACTAGAGGAGGCGGCCATTATTTACTCTTGGCTGTCTCCACAGGCCCCGACCGAGGAGGTCGACATGGGGGCTGGTCGCTTCTGCGAAGCGCTTACGCAGATTTGCGATGCGGCCATGCCCCGCGTTCGTGGTTGTCGGCCTCCAAGGAAGGAGGTCTACTGGTGGTCCCAGGAGTTGGCGGACCTCCGTGCGGCCTGTGTACGTGCCCGGAGGTCCCTCACCCGTAGTCGGCGACGTCACCGCGGGGTCGGTGAGGAGGTGGACCGGCTTCATGAGGAGTACCGAGAAGCTCGGAAAACTCTGAGGCTGGCCATCTGCCGCGCCAAGGATGCGTGTAGAGAGGAGATGCTGGAGAGTCTCGAGCGTGACCCCTGGGGTCGCCCTTATCGTGCGGTGCGTCAAAAGCTCCGCACGTCGGGCCCCCCCCTTACGGAGACTCTCCAGCCCAGCTTCCTGCAGGAAGTGGTCGAGGGCCTATTCCCGCAGCGGGCGGAGCACACACCCCCGTCGATGGCTGCATCAGCCGAAGACGACAGGGGCAGCGAGGTTGATGTTCCGCCCGTCAGGGAATCGGAGTTGGGGGCGGCTGTTCTACGGATTCGATCCAAGAACACCGCCCCCGGGCCGGACGGGGTTCCAGCCCGAGTGATGGCCCGAGCCCTCGACTACATGTCGGACCACCTCAGGGGGGTGTTGGACGCTAGCCTGGCGTCCGGACGCTTCCCTGAGCGCTGGAAATGCGGGAAGCTGGTCCTGCTGCAGAAGCCGGGACGGCCTGCCGATTCGGTCGCGGCCTATAGGCCTATCGTGTTGCTGGACGAGGCGGGCAAACTTTTTGAGAGGGTGCTCTCTGCCCGCATCGTCCGGCACCTTTGCGAGGTTGGCCCCGATCTGTCGGACGCCCAATTCGGTTTCCGAGAGGGGCGTTCGACGATCGATGCCGTAATGCGCCTTAGGGCCGTGACCGAGGAGGCCGTGAGCTGCGGCGGAGTGGTGTTGGCGGTGTCCTTAGACATCGCCAACGCCTTCAATAGTCTGCCATTCAGCTGCATCAGGGAAGCGCTCCGCTACCACGGAGTGCCGGAGTACCTGAGGCGGCTGGTGGCAGACTATCTTGAGGAGCGAACCGTCATGTACGAGGACCGAGATGGCGTCTTGAGACGCAGGGCCATGTCGTGCGGTGTTCCGCAGGGGTCTGTCCTAGGACCTCTCCTGTGGAACATCGGGTACGACTGGGCCCTACGAGGGCGTCTCCCCCCCGGGCTGGGTGTAATCTGCTACGCGGATGACACCTTGCTCACGGCCCGGGGGGCTAACTTCCAGGAGGCGGCGCGCCTGGCCGCCACGGGAGTTTCCCTGGTGGTCGGGCGCATTGAGGCGTTGGGTTTGCGGGTGGCCCTGGATAAGACGGAGGCCCTATTATTTCACGGGCCCCGTCGTGGTCCACCCGCCGGCGCCTCAATCGAGGTCGGCTCGGTCCTCGTTCCGGTCCGGGCCCAGATGAGGTACCTGGGTCTGGTCCTAGACGGTAGGTGGCTCTTCGACGAGCACTTCCGACAGCTTGGTCCGAAGCTGGTGGACACTGCCTCCGCCCTAGGGCGACTTTTGCCAAATTTGGGCGGGGCCAGTGTTCCCACGAGGCGGCTGTACGCGGGGGTTGTCCGGTCCATGGCGCTTTATGGTGCACCGGTGTGGGTGGCGGCTCTGACCGCCCCGAATAGGGCGCGCCTCTGGCGCCCCCAGAGGATATTGGCGGTCAGAGCCATACGCGGATACCGCACGGTGTCCACCGAGGCGGCTTGCGCCTTGGCCGGAACACCCCCGTGGGATTTGGAGGCGGAAGTGCTCGCCGAAGTTTATCGGCGAGTGGCTGACTTCCGGGCGGAGAGCGGATTTCGCCCTCCGCCCGAAGACGTGCGCGAGTGGCGCGAAGCCGCTCGCCGAGCCACTATGGTGAGATGGTCGTTCCGGCTGGAGACTCCACGCGCTGGCTTCGCCGCCGTGGAGGCTCTCCAGCCGGTCATCGCCGAGTGGGCAGGGCGGCAGCACGGGACCCTTTCCTTCCGGCTGACGCAGGTGCTTTCCGGGCACGGTTGCTTCGGAAAGTACCTGTACTCGGTCGCTAGGAGGGAATCGAGTCCCGCCTGCCACCACTGCGACTGCGGTGAGGATTCGGCCCAGCACACGCTGGCGGTTTGCCCCGCATGGGCGTCGCAGCGCCGGGCCCTCACTGCAGTCATCGGAGCAGATCTCTCGCTACCGGCCGTAATTCGCTCCATGGCCGGTAGCGACAGTTGTTTTACCGCGGTCGCAACCTTCTGCGAGGAGGTAATCTCGCAGAAGGAGGCGGCGGAGAAGGCCCGGGAGGACGACCTCCACTCGGACCTGATCCGCCGCCGGCGAACCGGGCGGCGGAGGCGCGCTCACCTGCGCCTCATGCCGCCCTGAGTGTGGCCGCGGGTGGACGGGATGGGTTCTCCCCTCCACCCGCATTAGTTGGCCAGCCGCGAGGGGGTGGCGTCCGCGTGTGCCGGACGTCGCCTAAAGAGAGGGTCCACTGAGACGGAGCCCGCATCAGGAGCGGGCCGGCGCTAGGAGGGGTCCAGAAGGAGATAGCTACCTGGACCCCTCCTAAACTGGAAGCGCAAAGAGGGCACACCGTGTGGTTTTAGTCGGTTCGAGTCCGACACTCCGCCCCGCCGAACGAGAGCCCCGGCGGGGTGACGGTCCGAGGGGATTTCCACACGTAAAAAAAAAAAAAAAAGCCCATTTATCAGGGTTGGATCAGCTAGTCTTTTATACATGTATAATTTCATTACTCCTTTCATCATTTATCAAAAAATTGGATCTCCGTTTCCTAAATAGTAGAGATTCATATCTAGTATGATCTAGTCAGTCAATTTGAATAGGAAACTAATATGCTCTATCGCCTTCCAGGAAGTGGTTATTTGAAACTTTCACCGAACATGTCAATTTCCGTTCTATAACGTTGCAACAAGTTTAATTTTTTATACAATTCGCCTCTTAAATGTAGCTCATATTGTGCCTACACTATAATTCATG